CCCCCCCCCCCCCCCCCCCCACACACACACACTGTACAAGCCCGTCTCCAAAAAGCAAAATAATAATAATAATAATTAATAAATAAATAAATTTGTTCGCTAAATTAAGAGGTTCAAAATCTAAAGTTTTTTCTTATGATCTTATCGATCACTTTATCTTCTTCTTGATAGTACATTGATTATATTAAAATATTGAAAAGTTCAGTGACTCAGGAAAAACAATTATGAAAATACGATTTAATTCGAAACAATGTTTGAAGCACGATCATTTTACATATACATTCTTGTTTACATTAACATCTTAACACACGACATCTATCATAATCATTGATTTTTAAAACTACTTTTTACATCATTGGTCAAATTTTGACACACAGAAAAAAATATCAACAACAATACTAAATATAGCATCAGTCTTTTTCCAAATATATATTAAGCCCCTGTTTGAGTCACATTAAAATTTTCATTCTTATTTTTCTACTCATTTTCAATCATATTCTTCAATAAAATAATTTTTTCATCACATTAATAACTTTTTTTTTTTTTCAAGCATACATTCTCTATTAATCTATAATTTCAAAATACATTATTCTAAAATAACATGACTCAAACACTCATGTGAATTTAGAGAATCAAATGGGCGAGGGGAATGTAGAAACTTATGGTCTGCCTCCAAGCAGGGAACATAGAATAATTACACCACATTGTACAGGGGCCCCACCTTATATTTTATGGATTATATTCCTTCTACCACCGCCAAACCCTTGTTTGATACACATTCTTAGGGTGTATTTGAACTATATTATTTTAAAATAGTAATTTGATGAATAATATAATTAAAAAATAACGAAAATTTTTTAATGTGATGAAAAATATTATTTTATTGAATAATGTGTGTTTGAAAATGAGTTTTGAAAGAATGAATTTTTGAAGAATGCCGATCAAATAGAGACTTAACAAAATTCATTTTCAACCACACATTTTTCAATAAAAAAAATATTACGTGCAAATTCAAAACTTCACCTTATTTTTTAACCACATTTTTACCTTATTTTTTAACCACATTTTTCAACACATCACATCACAAAATGCATTTTTTTCTCCATAATGTGTATCGAAAAAGAAAACTAGTACTAATCTCATACAAGTATTCACATTCCTCATTTAAGCATTAGTTTGACACAACTTATTTAAAAATTATTTTTCTTCAAATTCATTTCAAATCATGCTATTTTCCAATAAAATAATTTTGCACATTTATCCATAATTTTTAACTACACAGTCTAACAAATAACAATCTAGATTCCTTGCAGCACTTGCAAAATCACCAGTGTGTTCCAACAAAAGAAGGTGAAACAGAACTAACTGCAAACATTTAGATGAATTGTTTCGAGTATACCAAAAAGAAGAGACATATTCTTCCAGTTAAATCAGCCAGTGAGATTTGTATAGGCTTAATGGAGACTTCCCCTACTTTCGTCATATTTAACATTTGCTCAGAACTTTGTGCGCCTTCATTTACTCACGGCATCAACATAACTGAATCAAGAACATATCCTGCAAAAGAAATTAATTGGAAATCAATCGCTAATCTGAATAAGTTTGATGAGAAGAGAAGTTATACATGATATCATCAGAGTTTAAAAAACATCATGTTCGAATTTGAACTTTGTTTTATCTAGTAAATTGAAGTTCGTGATGTGGACCAAGAACATACTTCAATCAAATAAATGATGCGTGGATGTCTATGATGTTTGGGTTGATTATATGTGTGTGGGTGACTGGGTGTTGCTGAGTTAGAATGGAAAAAAGGCTGGTCGGCCAACATTGACAATCAGGGAATAGGTACTCTCTCATCAAAGAGCATGTTTGCTGTTGAATAGAATCTTAATTAATATCCTTACCTAACCTCTTCATGTACCAGCCAGGATGGACAAGTAAAAAATCATATATAAACAAAATACGTACTTTAAGAAGAAACTGGACATGAAAACCAAACAAACTTTACTATCTTCTAAATTTTGATGAAAAAACGGTGGCAATACCTTCCCTTTTGTTTGCCAATCAAAGTTGCACCATGCCTTCCAACAGATATGCCTTTGCTTTGTGAACTATTATGTATATCAGAGTTGGTTCCATTTTCAACCGTCAATAGTATAGTCCGCTCAGGCCTAGTTTCAGATCCACCGTTCATTTCAACCCGATCTTTAGGTTTGCTAAGAATTTTAATATTTGAGACTCCCCCAGCAACATCAGAAGAAACACCGTTCAAGTTCTTATTCTGCACTGTTGATGGGAAATGATGTGGTCTGCCAACAATATTTGTGGGTCTTGAGGCTCCAAATTCATTGAAAATTGTCTTATCAACATTTGCAGACGTGGATTCAAGGGAAGATGGCTTCTTCAACCGGTTTGGCTGTGCCATGGGAGTGACTGCTACAGATGGTACTAGTGTTGAGTAAGAAGATGCTGATGCAGCAGTAACTTTAGCAACAGCAGCAGTGGCTGCTATGATTTCTTGTGCTCCTTCTCGAAGCTGAATGTAGTCTCCTCCAATTACAAAAAGCTAAAGAGGCAGAGAAAATTATGTATCTAGTATAAAACTTCTTAGAAATTTTGAAGCAGAAAGTAACGGGAGAAAGGCATACTTCAGGATGACTGGCCACAAAGTCTTCAAGCTTCCCATACTTCTTCTTATAGTCGTGCCAGTGTAGTGGGGCCAGCACTTTTCCAAGTCTGTTTGGAAGCTGTACATCACATAAGCCCATTATCAAACAAATCATAAATATTCCATAACACTTAGCTAACTAGTTTACATACCAAACAAAGTGAATACAATTTAACTAACCGTTGAACTAATCCTAGCTCTACCACCAGATCCAATTGTACGAACAATGCAAGCCAATAATGATCTTTCGTCGAGGAGAGAACTCTCTACAGGTTTTCCAACTGAATGTGTACTTAACAGTGTAGTGGAGACAAAGGCATTCCGGACAGAATCTGAGGCAGTATTCATCATTGTTTCACTGAAATTTACAGCATGATTTGGAGCTCCATTCGAGAATGCATCGTCCATAGAATTAGGTTGTTCTATCATCAAATTTTTGTTCTCTACTGCATGATCAGCATCAGCATTGACATTCGTCTCCTGTGCCAATTGAATTTCAAGATAAGGTCTCAATCTAACATGACCAATCTAGAATCACCATATTTTCAGAGGACCCGTGAAATAACAGCAATACGAGGAAAAATGGCCATTTTGTGATGAGAAATTATACAAGTGAAAATAACAGTGAACAAACCTTTGTCTCATTATTGTTTTCAAATGAACCCAATCTAAGAGCCTCGTGAAACTGGGAAGAAATTTGTTGCAAGCTCTGCTGAGATTGGGCACCAACTGGGTAGTAGCTTTTATCTATAGACTCAAGAACCTGGTCAAGAAGAGCTTTAGCATTTGAAAACAAGTAATATATATACATCTCAAGTACCATTTTCAATGGGTAATTTTAACTACCTGTCCCTCTCCATTTGGTGATGGAACCACAGAAACAGGCACTATCCCCTGATTGCTGTTGGCATCCAAATAGTTTCCATGAAGAACTTGCCCATTCACAGATGCTTCATAGTCATACTTAACATTTACTCTCAAAACGTTTTGCTCTGTTTGCAGATACTGATCCTGGGAAGGCATATGCCGTTTATCTGGTGCATCCTTTCTCAAGAGAAAGGACAAAGCTGTCAAAATTGCATTTGCAATCATAATTGAAAGAGGAGCAAAAGAATTAAATTTACTCTACCAGATGGTTCTGCCAATGCTGAAGAGATGACATT